CGGTCCCTGCCTTGTTGGTGCCATAGGACAGCAACACTCCATATTGACTTGAGGGAGGGATTGCTTTCTATATGGCAAGAAAGCTGCTCGAGGCCTTCCTGGCATCTCTCCTCCTACTGCCTCCCCAAACAGAGGAGAAAATGAGCTGTGTGAAGCACACAGAGCCCGGGAACAGCTGTCTGAATTGGCTATTGGGAACTTTTTCTTCAGAGGATCCAGCTTGCTCCAGGGAGCAGCTTGTCTGTATGAAAAAAAGACATTTGTAGGTAGAGGGCTCTATTTCTTCACAGGCAGGGAAGCTTATGTTTATGGGAGGCAAGAGAATACAGTGCAGGGCTGGCAGGGCTGGTATGGCCTCTTGTCCTCTTGCAGGTAGCCCATTCTAACTTGGGCATCTTTGGTGCATCTGGGCTGACAGACTTGTTCAGCCATGGAGGAAACCTCCACAGATTCTTTCTCTTGCCAGGCTCTGCAGAACTGTGAGCTCCCAAATGAGTTAGTTACCAGCCCCAGCACTCAGGAAGCCTGGCAGAAGGGAGATGGCTAAGTAAACAGGCATGGACTGTTCATTGGGCCTGCTGCTGTGAGAGAGTACAGAGAGAGTATGGGTGTGCCCAGGGAAACTCGGGTGACAAGCAGATTGGAGCTGGAACTTGGCTGGATGCTGAGACTCCTGCCACCCCACCCAGCAGTCAGACTGGGTGTGAAGATGGTGGCATCTGATTGCAGCATTGGCATTCTACCACCTTCTACTGGACCCCTCCCGACCACAGCCAAGGAACCAGAATTGCTAACAGCTGACTGGCAGAGGGCTAGCAGTGGCCTTGGGGTGCCCAACTGAACCCTCACTTCCTGGCTGCTCAGGAGACTGACCCAGAACTGCTACAAAATCATAAGCAATAAGTCTCAAATATACTTAGCTAGGAGCCCTCAGGTAGGCGGGCCCAGAGATCATAAAGTTTATCTTCTTTGCCTCCATTTTTAAATGGGACAGTCCAGAAAGGCATAATGACTTGGTCAAGTTGACTCAAGAGACATTGGCAGAGCTAAGAAAAGAACTCTTAAGGAGCTGCTGCCCTTTATCTCGTGTCCAGGTTGCCTGCTCCTGGCCCATTCCTCTGACGGAAAACAGGGCATTTGTTTCCCCTGCCTCTCCCAGACTCTCAGCTTCATTGTGAAGATGAGAGAGAAAACTTGGAGGATCCATAGCAGAGGAGCAGATGCAGGTCCGAAAGTTGGGCTGGAATTGAACCTAACTCTTCCACTCCTTGGCTGAGTAGCCTTGTTCATATAACACCATTAAGTGGGGCTGGATGCCAAACTCACATGCATTCCGCTACCTGTACAGATGCTTTAGAGGCCACAAAGTGTTATGGTCTTCTTGGGTAGGGACCTTTTTTTCCTGTCACTCAGAAAACCTTTCTGAGTGCCCCCCTGATCTGGCCTTGGCATTGGCAGGGCACTGGGAACCTAGATGCAGATTAGGCTCAAGTCTGGACCTCAGACAGTTTCTAGTCTGATGTGAGAACCAACTTATAATGGCCAGTGAATTCCTCCCTCTTACTGGTCTCTCCTGAGTTCATCTTCAGGCAGAAAATCTCCCTGGGGTAGCAGGATAGTGCCCGAGTAATCCAGGTTTGCATGGTCCTTCGAGTTCTCCAGAGAAGGAAAGACCTCCTCTTTCTACAGGCTTCCCAGAGGACGTGATGCCTTCCCAGGGTTTGAAAGATATGCTGCTTCATCTCATGGTCAAGGAATTAACAAGTGGACAGAGAAGGGAGAGACCTTCTAAGCAGAAGAGCTGTAATTCAATATCTCAGAGGCTCACTGCAGGCTGCCGTTGGAATCTGGTGTTTAGCATGCATGAACAGGCCAGCTCCTAGGCTAGCTCTTTGGCCAGCCAAGTGCGAATTGGGAATGGACCTGGAAGAGGCCACCCCACCATATATCCACCCAGGAAATGTTCTCAGTTGTTTTAGTGGGGCTTGTCACCAATAAGAAATTTTTGTACTCTTCCCCAAGCCAGAGTGCTGCCCCTAATGGCAGTTGGCTGTCCCCAAGGCAGGGTCTCAATAAGATGACTCCTTGTCCACCTTGAGTGAAGTGTTCCTCCAGCCATTTGCCACAGAGGTCCTATCTGCAGCAGGAAGCAGAGAGCCATGAGATGTCTGATGCTGTCTGTTACCTCTATTTCTTGCCTAGTAGAAGGTAGAAGCCCCTACCTCTCTCCCTTACCCCAGTCGTGCTGTGCCTGAATCTTGGCATTGAGGCACTTAAAGTTGTGTTTCTCACATTTAATCACTTGGGATTTTTTTTCACCTGGGATCTTGTCAAAATATAGATTTTATACAAACAGCAAATATGTGAAAAATGTATTTTTTGTTTTTCACAAATATGTGAAAAACATTACTGGTCATTTGAGGAAGTGCAAATTCAAACACCACTGAGATTCTACCTCACCTCAGGAAGAATGACTAGTATTAAGAAATGAAGCAATAACAAATGCTGGAAGAGGAGCTGTGGGGAAAAAGGAACCCTTTGCTACTGTTGGCGGGAATGCAGACGACTGCAACCACTGTGGAAATCAGTGTAGAGATTGCTAAAAAAAAAAAAAACTAGGGCTACAGGTCCCATTCAACCCAGCTATTCCCCTTCTGGATATTTTCCCAAAAGAACTAAAGACATTAAACCACAGCAATATATGTCCACTCATGTTTATAGGAGCACATTTTGTAATAGCTAGATCTTGGAAACAACCTAAATGCCCATCAACTGAGGAATGGATAAAAAAGATGTGGTATTTTTATACAATAGAGTACTACTCAGCCATTAAGAAGGATAACTAGAGTTTTTTTATAGGTAAATGACTGCAACTTGAGAGCATACTCGTAAGTGAATAGGACACACGTATAAATATCATATTGTCTCACTAGTTGAAAAGCTGAATGAAAAAAACATGTATATATGTCTGTTTATTAGAAAACTAGCTAAGGTAGTTATACTACCGATTTTTCTGAGTTCACTGAAGAGAAAGATTTGTGCTAATATTGTTCTGACAGTTGAATGCAGATGTCTTGTGCTCTAGGTAAATGATTTGGAGATTATAATGCATAATGTGTGTACTATTGTTGCCCCTGATTGACATGTTTTGAAATTTTTAGGTTTTTTAATTTCTTTTCTTGTTTCTTTGGGGGTTTTGTTTTGTTTTGTTTTTCTCCTTGAACACAGAACACAGCACACACAGCTTCTCCTTTGCAAACAGCAGCTGCTATGAGGAAAAGGAGTGATGCCCTGGCTGGGGCAGGCATTCTGGGTTCATACTTTGCTATCAATTAGATGGATAAATTCAGGACCCTCTGTGGGCTTCAGTCTCCATGAGGGTATCCTAATAACCTTACAAGGCCCTTCAACCTCAGGAAATTGATGTTGGACAATCTGGAGGTGGGAATGGCCTATGATGGAAGAATTTTTTAAAGAGGAAAAGGAACGATGCTAAGCCTAACTTCTGGAGTGGCTCTGAGGTCCAGCCTCTTTCTTGCTTTTGTGACTTACATGCTGTCAGCTCTATCCCTATTGTACCTATGGAATATTAGATGCTACTGCGTGGGGAGTCCTGTGTTGTTGCCTAGAGTCACAAACTGACTGGAACGAAGGTTCTGACACTCTGCTGTACCAAGCTTCTCCCTCTGGTCCATCAGACCAGGTAAAGGGGGAGGACTGGTGTATCTGCTCTGAGACTTGACACCTCCTACCTGCCTCCTAAAAGTCAAAGCAGTTGTTCGCTTTCAGCTGAGGAAATGTATGTCCCTTTCCAAACTCTTATGTGAGCTTGTTGCTCAAAAAATTCTGATGGAAAGCAAAGCCTTGAGTGTAAGCCCCTTCCCCCACCCCTAGCTTGTAGGCCGGGGTGAAAGGTTATGAGAGCCTCAAGGACAGGACTGTGACTGAATCATCTGTGCTATGCCTTGCATAGTGGGTTGCAGGAAGGAATGTTCAGCAGCACACAATAGGCATCCAGGGAAGATGTGCTGAGCAAAGGGATGTGGCTGAGCTCCACAGAGGAGGGGTGTGGGATGGCTCCTGCTTTAGTAAGCACTGAAAGGAGTGGACATGGGTGGAAAGCTTCTCTGATGCTCATCTCCAGGCACCAGGCTTCCTGACCCCACTGCAAATCAGCTGCAGGAGTCAAGGGCATATCCCAGGGGCACAGCCACAGAGCCAATTAAGTGGGTGCATTTTGTTCTCATTTCCAGGCTTGGCACTTGCTTGCTAGCAAACATAATTACAACCTGTGTGTTTTCCAAGCTACCTGAAGCTCTCTGGCCACTGAGTCCCTTAGGGAAGCAAAGGCTTCCACCTTGCCCCTATCTGGGTCCCAAGCTCTGGGCAGAGATGAGGCCAAACATATTTCTGCAAGTAGAAGTAGTGTGGAGATGGTGGGATTGGGGGTGGAAGCAAGAGGCTCAAACTCTCGGAAAAGGGTATCAGTCCTGGGGGATAGGGGGCAGGGCAGGGATTAGAGATGCTCAAAGTACACTTGGAGAAAAAAAAAAAAAACATTGCAAATTGGATGTTGAACCTCTGTCCTTGGCTTCACAGACACCGATAGCAAAAATTAAATATTTGTGCTAGTTCCTGATAAAGGAGGAGGATGGGAGTTTTAGGCAGAGGGAAAGGGCAAGAACTGGCCATTCTGGAAGCCTTCTCAAGGCCCAGCTCTTGGGTCAGCCTCTTTAAATACCGCATTTGGCCTCCAAATAGCCTAGTGAAAGAGACACTGTTTTCATCGTGTGTAAAAGGAAACTTCAGCACAGGAAAGCATGTAAATAGCCCTGTTGATAAAGTCATTTGATTTCAGGGTAAGGACCTAAACTCAGATGTGTCTGATTCTGTGACCTGGCCTCCCATCTAGGAAGGCATCTGTGGAAGTTCAGTTGGCACTGGGGCCCCTGAGGCTGGATGGAAGGGTGGCAGTAGCCTGATACCTCTCTGTGCTGCAGGTACTGGATCCAGCATTCTCTCCGCCCTCCAAGATCTCTTCTCTGTCACTTGGCTGAACAGATCCAAGGTGGAAAAGCAACTTCAGGTCATCTCAGTACTACAATGGGTCCTGTCCTTCCTTGTACTGGGTAAGTGGAGCTGGGGGATGGGGGAAACAGGGAAGTGAGCAGGGCCAGAGACCCTGCAGAGGTCAGAGCCAAAGCAGCCTCTCCACAGTGTCCTCTTACTTGCATCTTTTGGGTCCCATCTTTTGGGACCTAGGGATGCAGGAGGCCCAGTCAATGAATCCAAAGGAAGTGGTGGTATGGGCCCATTTTACAAATTGGAACCCCTGTCTCAGAGAGGTAGGTAACTTGTCCAAAATCACTTGAATCCTGATTTGTGGGACCTCAGAGGCTGTGCCTTGCCCACAGTGCCATTCTGCCCCCCAACAAACATTTTCTAGCAAGTATGTTGCTTTACGTTTCAGTGTTGTGTTGCCAGGTTTGTGATCAAACAAGCTCTGTGACCTTACACAGACTACTTGAGTTCTGTGAACATTAGCTTCCTCCTTTTGAAGATGAGAATATGCTGCTTGTTTCATGTGGCTTTTGTGGAAAGCGTGAGAATTGAAAATGAAAGTGCTTGTGAGCAAGGGCTGAGCCTCGTGGGTCCCCATTATGGAAGATGTGTTGTGAGGAAGTATCACCCACCTGTACTGAACAGGTGCTACCTTCAGTCTTTCATCAGCAGGAGGGTTTCTGTCTCTGCAGTCCAGCAACGGGCCCCTGCCTTCTAGGCCAGAATCAGGACAGCATGGATTGGCTAGGAGGAGGGCAGGCCAGCTCTCCTGGAAACCTCTCCTCCCTCTTCAGCATGTCAGCTTAGACAGACTTGCTGCAGGGCCTCAAATGTATCCCAGTGCCTGGGAACAGAGGCCTCTGAATGACTTACTCTTCAAGGATGGCCAGGCTAGTGGGGATGATCAGCAGCTGGTGTGTCAGTGCTGAGCTACTGTCCTTGCAGGGAACCGGGATGCAACAAACCCTGCCGTGCACTAAGCCCTTGATGTGTCTGTTCTCCAATCTCATCCCCATTTCAGAGATGAGGAAAAGGAAACTCACAGAGCCTAGTCTGCTACACCAGCTCCTTTGTCTCCACTTGCACAAAGAAGCCACCACTCTCCTTTCCTCAGTGGGTCAGGGCTTGGCTCTTGGGGCACTAAGCAGCTTGTAGGATCCTAGCCCACGCAGCAGCATGTAATCCTAGCCCAAGCTATAGGTTAACAATGGATCAGGTCCAACCACAGCCCAGAAACTTACCCAGCCTGTCTTCTCAGCTTCCTGGGTGGGAGCGGGCCTGGTTGGAGGAGCAGGTTTGCTAAGCTCCTGCTAATTACTGCCTTGAGCCGCCCAGCCGGTCCCTCCCATTTGTACCCCACCAGGTATTGCGAAGGCTGCTATGGCTCAACCAGGAGTTTTACAATGTTCATGCCATGGATCCTTCAGGTATTCTGGTGAAGGCTGCAGACCTTCTCACTGCTTTTAAACATGTGATACAAAACACATTGTGCTTCAAAGGAAACCAATGATGTTAGGTATACAGAAAAGCATGTATTTTTTTTTATTGTCACATTATTAGAAAAAGACATAGCAGCAGGTGTAATAATTACTGTGATTCTTAAGTAGTAATTAAAAGGAATGAGTTTTCAAGGTATCAAGGCAACTGCTGTGTGATGCAAAAATATTTTTGTTATCTACAAGAGTCATGTCAACAGCGACTTCTATTATTTCTGTTTTGCTACATTCCTAAGTGAAGTAAATGCTAAATTTCTTTAAGTGATGTGGAAATTTAGGAGTCACTAATTGCCCCAACCAAGTCTGCAGACACTGTGTCAGGCAGTGTGCTACATTCAAACATCATCTCGCTCTGTCTTCCCAACACTTGGGAGGAAGCAAAGGCGCAGGCCCTGGACCTGACCATATCAGGGTCAAGACTCTGGCTCTGTTTGGTCCCAGAGTCCCTACTCCTCATTGGCTCACCACTGTCTCCCTGCCACTGAGGGTCCACAGACCACCCTGTGCCATGGGCTTGGGGCAGCAGTTTTGCAACCTGAGGTCCTTTGTGGGCCAGCTTGACATGCAGGAAGAGGGTGATGTGCAGAGGTGGTCCCGAGCCTTCCCTGTGGGGAGCCAGCAGGGGCTTTTGGGCACACTGCTTGCATAGACCTGGTGGCACTGGTTCCCCCTGTAGCCTTCCAACCTATAAGGGAACAGGGAGCAGCATGTTGTTGAGAGAACAAGGACCAGGCTCTGACAAAGGAAGATCCCTTGGTGGGTTTAGTTCATTCTTATGATCAATAACCCTGTGTAGTGTTAGTAGCTCTAGAGATTAATATGATTTGTTCCAGCCCTAAGGAGAGGGCTGTCTGCTGGAGGGAGTCTTAATGGAAGAGATGCCCTGTGCTGACCATATGTTGAGAGAGGCCAGGACTAGCATGCCATCTCTGGCCCCCATCAGTTCTCTTCTCTTCCAGGTGTGCTGCCTTAACAATGTGTCAGGATACCCTTCTCAGAGGTACCAGCCCTCCAGGCCTTGGCCTTAGGCTTAGACCTCCTGGCTCTGCTCCTCAGCAGGGTTTGGGGTTTGCAGGCAGCTAAATCTCCATCCAGGCTGCTCACAACCTAGTCTGAACCACACAGGCCTTGGTCAGGCTTACCTGATGTATCACTGAGGCTCTGCAGGAACATGGATCCCTGTGGAGTGTAGGGGCAAAAGGGGACCCTTTCCCAGGCCTGAGGAAGGGACCTGAGCTGGCTGCTGAGCAACGTGACTTTGTAAGTAGCCTCAGCACAGACATGGCTTTTTGCCTAGCTGCCTTCAGGACTCCACAGCCATGAATGGAGACCTGTAGACTACAGATTCTGGCCCAGACTCAGCTTCCTATCTGTTTTAAGCCACTCTAGGGAGAGCTGGCTCAGGAATATAGAGTGGAAGTAGTTTGAGGATGACAAGAGCCATCATTTCCCTGCCCTTAGGCTCACAGAGAATCTGCATCCTACCCTGTCCTCCCCGCAGTGCCCAGAGGTGCTCAGCATGGTGGAGAGAACAGGGCCAGCAGAGATGGTTGTGCAGTGAGGTTGGCCTCTCTGCCATGCATGAGATCTTCTGCCCCCTGGTTTGTCCTGAGTGCCACTGGGAAGAGATGTAGCCTCCCTAGGGTGGAGAACTGTGAGGTGAGCAGTCCATGTGGGATGGTACTGTATGGTATTTGGGAGCACTTCTCGAAGAGATGAGGTCTGAGTTAGGCCTTAAAGCTTGGTGAAAATTGGAGAAAGAAAAGCTGTAGAGAAGGCATCTTGGGGTGAGCCAGGCAGTGAATCAGGCTCGGCATAAGCTTTCCTTCCCTTAGTACTCGGTCATTCAGCCTCAAGCCAGCAGGCCCACAACTTGCTAAACACTTGGAAGTTGGCTCCAGGGCCTTCTCCCAGGTGTCCTGCTGGGGTTTGGGGGAGGAGGCTGATGGGCTCTGGGTTTTCCTCAGCCTTCTGCATGGGACCAACCCTCCTTCTAGAGCAGGAGTCCACTCTTGTAGGACCCTCCAGTGATAATCTGAGGCTTTGGGTTTGAATCCTGGCTCCACCACTGCCCTGCTAGGGACTGTGTTACCGCCCCCTTGAGCCTCAGTGCTCTCATCTCTAAAACGGGGTAAATTCATCCTGCCTCAGTGGCTCAGGGGTTCAGCCCAAATCATGAGGAGAAGGAGGCACGTGATAGGTATCTCCTCTCCTTCACAGTGACTTTGCAGGGCACTGGCATATGTGGGACATGGAGGGAAGGGACAGTAGTAACAGCTGCCCAAGGCGTCTCTGTCCTCTAGTGCTCGTGCTCAGACAACATCAGCTCCAGGACAGCCCTCAAAGCCCAGGATCTGAGGCTGTGTCTAGTGTCCCATGGCCTGTACTCCCGGGGCTGGGCATCCCCTCAGCCATCTCTGAGGCTGGGGCTTTGGGCCTGAGGTCCCCGTATGCCTAGCTTAGTGCCATGACACTGGCAGGAGGAAGTCTGAGGCCCACTGGAGCCCAGAGCCTGACCCGTGGCTATCTGGTCCCCCCAGGAGTGGCCTGCAGTGCCATCCTCATGTACACATTCTGCACTGACTGCTGGCTCATCGCTGTGCTCTACTTCACCTGGCTGGCCTTTGACTGGGACACCCCCAAGAAAGGTGAGCAGCCTGGCGGGGTCTCCCTATTAGTGAGTTGTTGCATGGTGATCAGGAATCACTTGATGGGGTCAGCAAAGGAGGGGGCAGTTGGGAGGGACAGAGATACAGAATGGGCTGAGGGTTACCGACCTCAGGACTGCAGACTGGCTCTGTCTGGGTGGATTTGCCCAAATGTCCCCCAGCCTACTTTTTCCCAACACTGTATTTTGTTCCCTGAAAGGTGGCAGGAGATCACAATGGGTACGAAACTGGGCTGTGTGGCGCTACTTTCGAGACTACTTTCCCATCCAGGTAAAGATTTGTATTGTTACTTTGGGAGGATAGAAATGGGTGGAATCCTTCTCATTCACAGAGAGGCCATGTGTGAAAGACCATGAGTCGTTTATACTATACTTTCCATTCTGCAGAATTTGATAACATATTCCATAAATTGGGTAATGAAAAAGTTAAGACATGGGGGGAAATGCTAGTAGTTCAGCCTTAAGGGAAAACAGTTGCTGCTTCAGTTCACATTGAACTTGAGCTTTCTGGCAGCCAAGGCAAGAAGAGAAACATAGTCATTTGCTTCTTGATTTGAGAAAGAAAGAAACCTACTAGTTCTTTGGGAAACAAGACTTGTTTGAGCCTTTGGATCTAAAGAGCATTCATTTACTGAAAGCCAGGGTGATATAAGGAGCATGTATGATAGCAAATATTATAGTCATTGTTTATCTGAATATTAAGGATACAACTTAAAATGGAGGTAAATTATGAAGAGCAATACTGTAGTAGTCCCAGTTCATCTGACCTGAATCAAGAGTAGGATGAAAGCAGTAAGTGTGAAGGACTTTGTTTGCCTCCAAATGTCTCACAGAAGAATCATTTCTCAGCCAGTTGCTGGGTTCATGATCATAAGAATAAGGGCCTGGGCCATTTGCTGAGTAGCAGAGGAAGGGTAAGACCTCAGGAGCTGAAGTGGCTGGGGAAAGATCCCCAAGTGTGTGCCTAGAGCTGTCTTCCCCAGAGGTGGGGAAGGCAGAGCATGGGCCCTGGGCTGGAGAAGAAAGGCACCGTACCCAAGGTGTCCTGTAAGCCTCACTACGTCCTGGACAGCAGGCTTTACCTTCATCCCCTGTCTACAGAAGGGACACCTAGATTCCAAGGTGCATGAAGCTAGTGAGCAGCTGCACTACACTTTCCATTGCTGCTCTGCCTCAGAGTCTAGCTCTTTCCACTATAGCGTGCTGCCTCGGGGCAGGAGATCAGTGAGGAGTCAGCTGGGGCCAGTGCTTCCCACAGGCTGGAAGATGGAGCCAGGGCAGCCTGGCATGACCCTGGGGACAAGGAGAATGCTGTCCTCCACCCCAGAACAATCCCCCCCAAAAAAGCAGATAGGAACTGAGGTGATTGCTGGGATTCCTTCCTGCTGTAAGCTGTTCAAGGGTCCCACCTGTTGTGAGCACCCATCTTCCCTGGGGCAGATCCCAAACCCCTGAGAAGAGCAATGGTAGTTGCATCCTGCCCCTGCCTGGCCCGCATACTGGGCTGGCTGCTGAGGCTGAGCCATCTGGCCCTGATGCATGTCGGGTGCACTGGAAGATTTCAGGTTAATTCTAGCAGAATCCTAAAGGGTACCCCAAGGAGAAAGACCTGTCCTGCTAGCTAACTGAGCACCTAGCCAGTCACACCCTAGCTCTTGCTTTGGCCCAGCAAAGGCCAACGAGGGAGGCAGCATGGGAGCATGAAAGTATTCTGTGCATGACGCAAGGTGGTGACATGCCACCCTGCTGCCTGGGCCAGGTGGTCCGGGAGCCCATACCATGGAGCAAGGTGTTATGGGGGCGGTCCAGGGCCAGCTCATGCTGCCCACCCACTACCCTTCCCAGGGCTGTACTGTTCCATGGGGTGAGGGTTCCTCTTCCTCCCTTACCTGACCCCCACTTCTCGATCTGCAAACAGTTTGTGTTGATGGGAGGCTATTGCAATAGGACCCAACCTTTTCCTCTTGGAAGGGAGGCTACCGAGTCCCAAAAGGAACAAGGATTTGCCTCGGTGGCACAACAGTCCACCTAACAGTAGTACTGGCATCTGTTCTTCCTGAATCTGGATCCTGGTTCATTTTTTGAGACTTCCTATGACCTGTTTCTCTGTAAGATTTAATCACATTTCCCCATTGGATGGATTCCCACTTCCTAGGTTTCCTTCTTCCCCCTTTCCTGGAGACTAGGCTCTTACTTCTTGTGCTGTCACTTTTTACTGACCTGCCAGTTGCTGTCTGTCCAGTGCTGGGCTCTGTGCCCACCTGGGGACACAGAAAGGTCAGCCCTGGCCCCTGATGTTGGGATGGGCTCACAGTCTAATGAATCCTGCTTGACTTTGTCACTTTCTGCACAGACTTCCTCAAACTCATCAAGTATCTTTTGCCTGCAAAATGAAACTGTCATATAATAGATTATGTTACAAATTATATATTATGTATATAAATTATATACTGTATATATAGGCTAAAGTACATCTGAATCTTAATTAAAGTTTATAATCTCAAAATTATAGTTGAGGTGAATGACTGTGGACTGTGTTCTGTGGCCTCTTTCTCTCCCACGCCAGGGACCAGGCCTGGTGTTCTCTCTTGCCACTGTGGCCTTGTCTTCAGGAAGCTTCCTGGATACCATGGTCCCCTCCACCAGAACGAGATGAGCTGATGCCCCTCAATGAGACCTGAGATAAGCAGCTGTCTTTCCTCACCTGATCTCTGCCTTCCCAAAAGAACCCAGACAAGTCCCGTGTCTTCATCACATCTCAGTTCCAAAAAGTCAGCTACAGGTTGGAGCTGCAGGGCGTGGACTAGCCAGATACCAGGACCGGAGCCAAGCTAGGACCGTGCAGGCGGCCGTGTTGAGCCCCAGCCTGAGGCTCATGCTGGATTTTGAGTCTGCTCCTTGAAGTTTCAGGTTCCCCTCAGTGAGAGAGAAATTGTTCTTGTTGATTAATGTCCAGTCTGACACTCTATTGGGTTATGCGTGACTCTCCTGCCCCACCCCTTTTTCCTGGTCTCCCACCACTGATTATGTAATGAGGTTCTCTTGTGTCCGCTCCCTCTTGGTGAGCTCTGTGCTTTTTGCCACCAGAGCAGCTCAGCTGGTCCAGAAAGGCTCTCTTCTGGCAAAAGTGGGGCTTGAGAGTCAGTAGCAGCGAGCAGGACTACTGGGTGCCTGGAAGAAGAGTAGTAGACAGTGCCCTGTGTCACCTCTCCCTCAAGTATAGGCAGTACCTTTGAAGAGGAGACTGAGAAGGAGGAGACTCAGCTAGCTTCCCAGCCGCCTCATTTCATGGATGGGCAGGCTGAGGATGGACTATGTCAAGGTCACAAAGCAAATCCATAGCAGGCCTGGTATGGGAGCCAGAATTGCCTGCCCTGGGGCCATGTTCTTACTGCCCTGTTCCTACACTCTTCTTCCACCATGGCCTGCTGTGTAAATCTCACTGAGTCCCCGTCTTCTCTGGGCCTGAAAGGCTTCCTCTGTATGGGGCTGGCATAGGACAGACACCTCTGAGCACCTTTCCTGGCCTAGAAGGCACAGAGTGAAGAGTGCCCTGCCAGGAATGTGTCCCGGGCTCATGTTGGCCAGAAGACCTAGCTTGGGCACCATTTGGCTGGTTCTTTGCCATGAGAAACAGTCAGGGGACATGAAAGCTTTCAACAGCAGTGTCCTTTCTCTTCCTCTGCAGAATGGATATTCTGTCTGGTGCTGGGGGGCGGGGATCGTGACGTGAAGGCAGATGAGTGCCATATAGGGTGCCTCCATTCTTCTGGGTGTTTCAGCAAGGGCTGTTAACCAGCATTGTGCCAGAGGCTTCATTTAACCTCATGTCCCATCAGATAGAGCCTTGGGTAAGGAGGACATGATTTAAGAAGCCAGCTAGGCGCCCACTGTGTGATATGTCACCGTCACAGTGGAAAAGGGTGGCTTTGTGAGGCTGAGTGACCTTGTCCAGATGTGGAGAAGATTTGCCATGACCTCCTCGAAGGAAATAGCAGCTCTCTAGTCCCGTCTCTGCCTTCCCATCCACGGAATGCCTGGCTCTTTACATCTCTGCCACCCATTGTGTGCCTTGGGCTCCAGGTTGTTGGGACCCTGGGTTTGGCCACCAGCCCAACCTCGTTGCCTCAGCTCAGGGCTTCCTCGGTGCCTGCCTTTTCTGTGGAAATTGAGCCAACTTCTTTGAATTGTGGCTTTACTGAAGCCAGCGAGGTAGGCAGACCCCAGCACAGCAGTCCCGTAAAGCTGTGGTGAACCTAAACTCCATTTAGAGCCCCCCACTACCCTCTCAACTGTGGATTAGCCTGGTGCTGCTCCCCAGTTACTGGTGAGCGAGCAGCTGGGAGCTAGCTTGGTTTTCAAGCAGCTTTAATCTAGTTACCAAAGGCATAGTGGGAGAGAATGCCACTGTCCCATACAACAGGGGTGACAGTATGGAATCTTGTTTATATACTGGCAGCTCTAGAACTAGAAATGGTGCCAGCCACCCCTTTTCTATCCCCATCACCTGAAGATTTTGGATTCTGTTCTCTGAGGCCATCACTGGCACCCGCAGCCCCCAAACTGAGCTCAAGGGCCCTCAGCCAGGAGGTCCCCAAATCTGAAGTCATGGAAAATTTGGGCTTTTGATGTTCTGCCAGTAGCTGGGGACTCTGCTTCCATCTAGCACAAGTACAGGAAGGGGACACTGTTAAGTACTCAGGTGAGAATGTTAATGGTGTCGCCTCTGTCCAGGAAGGGCAGCCAAAAGCATCAACATGCTTTTACCCTTTGACTCAGAAATTCTATTTCTGGAGGTTTATCTCATGAAAACCATCAGCTATATGGATAGATAAGGTATTTATTGATGTATTATTTCTAAGAGGGTAAATCTGGACACTTAAAATGTCTGTTGCTCAGAAACTTGAGTCAATGCTCTATCACCTGTAGCATAGCTGTGCCCTAGATGAGAAATGCAGACATGGAATGGAGAATTTTAATAAGGATAAATAATGAGGATATGTTTGGTAGAAAATGATGCAAAATGGTATTAGCTCCATAGCCTCAAGTGTGGATATTTTGAAAAAGGCCATGGGTACACTTAAGTAGGAAGACTATACATCAGAATGGCTATCTGGATGGAGGTGCAGCAGCTGCTTTTGATTTCCTTTGCACTTTCCTAACATTAAAAAATTCTGGATGAGTATTCATTATTTTTCCAATCAGAAAAAAGTGATACTTTAGGAATAGCTCCCTCTTCCCCTCATCATGCGCCTTGTAATGGTGAGTGGGTATCTCAGGCTCAGTGCCTAGCTGCTCAAGGTTTAGGGACACTTCATACCACCCCGTGTTCTGCACCCCCAACATCAGGCCAGGAGTTGGGCTCTCAGGGAGCCATTCAGCTTTGGAGCATCCCAGAACAGCTTTGCTAGTGGACCATGGGTCAGACCAATGTGCTATTACAATGCTACTGCACCCGCTCTCCCCGAGATAGACTAGCACAAGGGCTGACATCTCTCCTCTCCTGTCCTGCCCACAAATTTGAGCTGGATCTGGCTGCCTGGCAAAGTTTCCATGTAGGCCTACACTGGCCTTGCCTGGGCCAGAGGAGTAGGAGGTGGGTTGCACAGTTTCTTGCAATTCCTTCCATGAGCTGTTGAATAGAGGCCAGGCAGCCCTTATCTCCAAGGAGCTCCCTGTGTGAGGAAATTGACAGTAGAGACACCGACTACAGCCAAAACCCAACTTGCCAAACTAAGGATCATGGACTTCTCCCTGATAAGGGCTGGATATACCACTTTAGTTGCACATGACAAGTGGGATTTGGATTTGAGAGCAGTCATTCTGATCATGATGAGGAAGATGGGCCCAGAGGGTTGAAGGCAGGAGGCTGGCTGAGTGGAAGTGGTCCAGTTGTATGTTTGGCTGAGAATGAGGGAGAAAATCTCCCCCTCCCCAAATGAAGGCTACTAGCTGCTAGCACTGTGGCCTCAGTGATGACAGACTAAGATCAGCAGGGAGAGCCTCTGCAGTCCTTTGGGCCCACCAAGTCTGTCCTGGGGGTACAGCATAGCCAACTTCAAGTATGCCCTAGTATCCCTCTCCTGGCTAGCTGCTCTGACCCAAGGCTTTCCTTGCAGCTGGTGAAGACACATAACTTGCCAACCACCAGGAACTATATTTTTGGCTACCACCCCCATGGCATCATGGGCCTGGGTGCCTTCTGCAACTTCAGCACAGAGGCTACAGAAGTAAGCAAGAAGTTCCCTGGCATAAGGCCCTACCTGGCCACACTGGCTGGCAACTTCCGGATGCCTGTGCTTCGAGAATACCTGATGTCTGGAGGTGAGAGTCCACCTCTGCCTGCCCTCTGGACTCTGCTGTCAAGGATGGAGCCTCCCCATTGAGCCTTTCCCCATGCTTGTCCTATGCAAGGAGATGCCACCTGCCCAAGTCGCTGGGTGAGGGCTGAGCAGGAGGCCAGTTTATATTGTCTTCAGGATTCATCTCGCATAACATCTCCTCTAGGAGGGATTATCTGCCCCCCCTTCCTACCCTTTACATTGCCTATTGTCCACCCTCATTATAAAGGGCACTGTCATTGACTGCTGCCCATTCACTCCCTGGAATCCACAGCACCTGGCGCCAACCCTACAAAGTTAAGACCTCAGGGATGTTTGCGGAATAAGAGTTCCCCAGATAATCTCATATCACTATCCTCATTTTACAAGTCAGAAAGCTGAGGCTCACAGTCATGAGTGGCTTACACAGGGTCATACAGCCTCTAAGTTGCGGGGGTTAGGTCCAGCACCCACGTACAGAGTTTTCAGGTTTATGCTTGACTGAGTGCGAAGGTAGGCAGTGCATCTATGAGCACTCCTGACTGTGTCTTTCCCTCTCTCCCAGGCATCTGCCCTGTCAATCGGGATACCATAGATTACTTGCTGTCGAAAAATGGGAGTGGCAATGCCATCATCATCGTGGTGGGAGGTGCAGCAGAGTCCCTGAGCTCCATGCCTGGCAAGAACGCAGTTACCTTGAAGAACCGCAAAGGCTTTGTGAAACTGGCCCTGCGACATGGGTAACCCTTCCTATACTCCCTAATACACACCATTCCAGTGCTCTCCTCAGCCCAAGCAGAGGTACCTGAGCCTCTGGAGGCAGGGCCCAGACCCTAGGAAGGCACAGAATGGGGGATGTTGGAGTCCAGATTGCACTCTGTAGGCCAAGTTTACCCAAGGATGGACAGATGCTTGAGTAGGGAAAAGATGGCACACTGAGAAGCCAGGCTCACCTGCAGGACTTGGACACCTGAAGCCAAAATGTACCCTGCAGCTAGGAGAGCAGGGATAGTGGGGGGGGGGGGGCAGGAGGAAAATGGCATGGCCAGAAACATGGCCAATCACATGGGAGGGTGATTCTGGGAGCAAGCAGAGAGGAGCTGGGCAGCTTGGATCTCTGTGGCCCTTTCTAAAATCTAGAGGTACATTTTGTGTTACCATCTGTCTAACATACTCAATTTTATAAGCTCCCAGCTTCTACTGTCCCCTTTGATTCCCCAACAATCCAGCAAATGAGACTGAGTCTCAGGGCTGGGGGTTTAGCTCAGCAGCATAAGCGCCTGCCTTGCAAGCCTGTGGTCATGAGTTCGATCCCTGGTACTGATAAAAAAAAAAAAAAAGAAAGAAAGAAAGAAAGAGACTGAGTCTCCATTTCCTACAGGAGAAGACTGAGATTAAGTGACTAGTTAGGGGCACATTGTGAGGTGTACTCTAGGTTCACCGCTTTCCTGCCAGATGTGGGTTCTGAGCAGGTTTTGGGGAGGGAGGATAGCCCTGAGGTGGTGCATAGGCCAGAGGGGAAGATGTAGCCTACGGTTACACACAAGCTAGGGAAAGTACTTGGCCACCCTGTCAGCCTGGATACATCCTTGAGTACTTCGGGGATAGTAGTCCTCCCCGCTGTCCCCTCAAGACACTGGTTGGGCTTCACTAGAGACTGTTCTCTGGAACCTAGTCAGGACCCAGCCCTTGGACCTGTCAGATCCAACCCGGTTCCTGCTTTCAGGGAAGTAGGACGCTCAGATAGGGACAGCACAGTATGCTAAGGCCGTGACATGGGGCTGACTCCAGGGTTGAGTGAAATCTGGGGCAGGGAGGCCTTCCCAAGGGAAGTAGGCCTTGCAGGATGAGGGCAAACGTAGCCTCCCAGAACAGGTGCTCCCCAGTCATAAGCAGCAGGCCAGGGCCCATCAGAATCTGGATAGAAGAGAATGTGTGGCTCTGGTCTGCCCCAAAAGCCAGGGGCAGCTTGACCTGTGTCCAGCCCCCTCTAGGGCTGACAGTGGGAACCAAAGCCAGTGACTGGGGAATAACAGACCTTGGCCTCTCCTTTCCAGAGCTGACCTGGTTCCTATCTACTCCTTTGGGGAGAATGAAGTGTACAAGCAGGTGATCTTCGAGGAGGGCTCCTGGGGCCGATGGGTCCAGAAGAAGTTCCAGAAGTACATCGGCTTTGCCCCATGCATCTTCCATGGCCGAGGCCTCTTCTCCTCTGACACCTGGGGGCTAGTGCCCTACTCCAAGCCTATCACTACTGTTGGTGAGTCTCCAGCCTGCACACGAAGTAATGTTCTATCAGGATCCCAGTGTAGGCCACCTGGCCTGATAGCTGCGCTCTGGGACATGAGGCCCTTGATGTCCTGGGTGCTGATGGGCAGCACCAGTGGGGTGGAGTGGGGACAGGTGAGAAAGTAAGGAATGGGGAAGTCTGCAGGGGAAACTGAGGGCAAAGACCATCGATGCTGTGATCAGGAGGTCTGGGTGCTCTGGTCGGTCACAGTGGACCCCCTGAGGAAGTAAGTCTGGTCCTGTTGACTGGTAGGAATTATTCAGCAAAAGAAGAGAGGAAGGGAATTTCTGTCAGAAGCGATAACCTAAGTGAAATTGCAGAAAAAGAGATTGGGTAGATTTTTGAGGAACAATGAAAAGAATACAGCTAAAAGCATAGATCTACACTTAGCCCTCAGCTGTGTTGTTTTGCGTATCTTGGGGACAATTCAGAGGACTGCAAAGGATTATCTAGCATAGGTATGTGCCTGTGCGTATGTTCACAGGGGTGTGGGTTAAAGGTCACACGCCAGAGACCTCACAGGAGCATGTGGCGCTGGGCAGTGGAGTTGAAGGGCCAAAGTTCATGCACATACTTTGTGTTATCAGAGGCAGGTGACTGCTCCATACTTACACAGCAAGCAGCAGGGCAGCAGGAGGGCCTCCCTGCACACGGGTAGCTGGAGAGGACAAGGGATCCTGTGGACAGTGCCAGTTTGAGAAGGCAAAGCTGACAGAGGATGTGGGGGAAAGCAGGTTCATATTTGCATTTTAAAATGGACTCTGTGAGCAGGACATCGTGGCACAGGCCTTTAATCCCAGCAGTCTGGGAAGCTGAGGTAGGAGAATCATCAGTCATCAGCTTGCAAGTTGAAACCCAGCCTGGGCAACTTAGTGAGACTCTATCTCAAAATCAAAAATAAAAAGTGGGCATGGTGGCACACATTTGTAACCCCAGCCCTCAGAGGCTGAGGCTGGAAAATGGCCACAACTTCAAGGCCAGTCTGAACTACATGGATACCCTCTCTCAAAAAAACAAAAAATAAAAAATGTCTGAGAATGTAGCTCGGTTGGAACATCCTCAGCACAAAAACAAAATATAGTGGTGTCTGCAGCTGCTGGGTAGAAAATATGTTAGAATGGGCAAAATGGAATCACAAGATCAAACCATAAGCTTTTGTGTGACTTGGCCTGAATGTAACAAATTACAATAAAAGAGAGTCCATACATTTCAGAGAAGTCTCAGAAATAGCATTAGCAGGGCTTAGAGGAGGATTGGGCTTGGAGACGGCACAGGATGAAAAACTTCACACACTGTCAGGGGTGTTGGTTTCCCTTCCCCTTTCCTAGCACATCCTATTCTTCACAGAATCCTTAGAAAAGCCCTCCTGTGTGTCCCAGGCGAAGAAACCAAGGCTAAAAGAGAGTAGCCAGAGCAGAGCAAAAGCAGACATTTACTTCGTCCCATGAGTTTCACAGAAACCAGTAGATTGCAAGGGGTTGATTTCATCTGCTGCTAGGAGGTTTTGTGACCTTGGACAGGTTCCTTCCCATGTTCTAGGTGTTCAGTCTTCTCATCTAATAAGCTAGAGCGTCTGAGAGGAAGTCCTGGTGCATGGCTGGCACAAAGTCACCGCTGTCAGCATCCTGGATGCTTAGGAAGGGGATGCTCTGTGGCACTGACTAACCAGATATCTCTGTCTCTCCCTGCAGTGGGCGAGCCCATCACCATCCCCAAGGTGGCACACCCGACCCAGCAGGACATTGATCTATACCATGCCATGTACATGGAGGCCCTGGTGAAGCTCTTTGACAAGCACAAGACCAGATGTGGTCTCTCGGAGACCGAAGTCCTGGAAGTGAACTGATCCAGCCCTTGGAAGGAACCGACTACACACTGTTTTCTACCGAGCTCTCAAGTGCTTTTTGTTCTGTAAATTTGGAAGCGTCATGGGTGTCTGTGGGTTATTTAAAAGAAATTATAATTTGTTAAACCATTACAATGTTAGGTGTTTTTTAAGAAGGCATAAGTCAATATTTTAAAGCTCTTTCACTTCTAGTATGTCCTGTTCTAGGTCGTGGCTAACACATCTGGGCCTTTATGGTTTCTCAACCAAACCCTCAGGTTCCCTTCCTAAAATGATGAAATGAGAAAACTGGGTTCTGGTAAATTGGGGGAGGGTGACCATTTAGTGAATCAAGTCGGTTAGATGCTTCATTCTTTGTTCCCAGGCATGAGAGGCAGAGCCCACTTCTAACACAAACATCTCTATCTCCACCACCCCACGCTTAAGTGAAAGTCTTGGTCCCTTTTGCCCAGGGGAAGACGTGGAGGGCACAGCTGTCCCCACTTTGGAAGGGCAGTGGTGAGCACCCAGAATGCTCCAGCTTGAGTCTCCTCTCTGTCCCTGACCTGAACCCTCCTCTGTCAAATCTCAGGCTAGACCAGCTGCCAGTGATAGTATGTGAGGGCAACACTACTGCAGAGACACCATGTCTTGGATTCTCCAGCCCTGCGTGTTGTTGGAGTAACTGGCTTTGCTCAGGAAGCTGATGGCGTGGACTGCACTGACTCAGTCTTATCTTGGAGCATGTCCTTCCCTGTGGCCTCGGTTTGCCCAGGTCACACCCTAAGTCTGGTTACAGAAGGGTCTGCCCTTCTGCATAGCACACTGGGTCCAGGAGAGGAGGTCCTGAACCTGAGCCTCACATCTTTGTGCCTTTCTGAGGGGCTTGGAGCCAGGGAGGCCCCTCCTCTGTATGTTGTTTTCTTTCCATGAGATCATTGTTCCGTGTCAGACTTTTGTATATTCCTAAACAAATAAACTGAAAAAAGAACCCTCTGTGCATGGTTTCTGGGCTCCGTCTGCACTGTGCCATGACACTGGGGATGCTCAGGGACCCGGTGGCTTCCTGCTGCACCCTCTGGTACACTTGTTATCAATGGCTATATAACATTGCTTCAAAACATAGTGGCTTCAAACATTTTTCTCTCACAGTCTGCAGAGTTGAGAACTAAGGCTTTGCTGGATCTCTACTTAGGGTGTCTGCCAAGGCCACAATCATCTCAAAGTCCAAGGCAAGGTCCTTCCTATGGTTGATGGCAGGATTCACTTCCTCACTGGCTGGTAACCAGAGGCCGCCCTTAGTTCCTTGCCACGTTCATCTTTCCACAGGGTAGCCCAGTGTCAGCTGACTCATCAGAGTGAGCAAGAAGAGCCAGTGTGCAAAGAGAGCAGCATGTGAGCAAGACAGAAGTCACAGTCTATTGTGACCTAATCGTGGAAGTGATAGCAGCATTGATGTGTTAGATGTGAGTGTCTACGTCCAGCTCACACTTGAGTGATCTTACAAGGAAGTAAACACCAAGAGAGGCAGGGGCACTGTCCTGCTGGGAAGTCTTAGAATGGCTGAGGAGGAAGGGTCCTTACAGGTCACCAAAACCATGTTCCCTGTCTGTGACCTCGTCTATACTAAACAGGAAAGATATCTGACCTGCTGTCCATTCAGTGTTTACAAGCTCTCACAGGATGCGGCTCTCTGTTCTAAGTGGTAAGCCAGCTGAGACCCAAGGATTTCTCCCAACCTCCTTCTTGTGGGAATGCTCATCCTGCTGTCTTTGCCAGCCCTGCTCCTCCATGTTGGAAGCAAGCTGTGAGTGGGATGCAGTGAGACATTGGAGACAGCTGAAGATAGCCAGGGTGTTCAGGGATGTGACAGGAGCACCTCTAGCCCAAGCTAGGGTGCCTCGCTGAGGATGAGAGTGCGTCATCTGGGTCTTGAAGCCTAGTTGGAGGTTTACCAGGAAGGGAGGAAGAGGGCGGGGCTGCAGGTGATGATTGGAAAGACTGAGGGGCGGAGAGTGGCCTGTGACTAGGGTGGGCTCAGAAGGGAAAAATACTTGGATTCCCCCAGAGAGCATTTAGGTGGCCAGGACTGGTGGGGGGGTGCCCTGGAGGGATCGGCAGAAGGTAGATTCTTAGTGCCAGACAAGCCTCTGGACACGCTCAAGACAGGAGGCTAGCCTAGCTTTCTGATGAGAGACCGGGCTCTACCCTTGTCCCCCAGCCTGAGGCTAACATGACACTGGATTATAACCTAAGCCACTCCTTTAAATAGAGGCTGTTTTCTCGTGAATTGTGAATGTGAATTGTGAATGACTGCTGTGTACTAGGGGACTCAGCCATCTCTGCCTAAGGAGACTATCAATAATAACTGGCTCCCAGACCGCAGGAGGGTCCCCCACCCAGGACAAAGTATATCTAGCAGCAGACTGTCCAGAGCAGGCTAGCCTGCTCCAATGCTATGTGACTGCAGGTAGGTGCTGTGGATGTTGCCTGAGGGCTTTTTTTTTTTACCTTGAGAAGATTTTGCCCTGCGTGCTGGTGGTGATGGGCTGGTGACCTTAACCGGAAAATTGTCATTTCCATGATTCTGACTGTGGTTCCCAGACAGACCACAAGGGGGCACTAAGGCTAGGTCTAAGGCAAAGCTGTTGGCTTCCTGAGCTGCTTGCATCTTGACAATTACTGAGCTCTTATGCTGGGCTAGCAACTAGGGAGCAGCAAATCAAGGATTCACAAATGCTTAGGACTACACAGGAATTTCAGTCATCCACCTAGAATAAATACTCCTAATCTGGACAATGGCATCGAGGGCCAGTGGACTTGCCTTTAACTACACAACAGATCAACATTTATTGCACGCTTCCTCTTGATAACGCATGAGAGGTCTCCAAGTGGAATACCCATTGTTCCTAGGGTTCTAGTCATTAGTGCTGCTTGCCCATTAGCAGAACTGTCATCACATCACACTAGACACTTCTGTCTTCTTCCTGCTCTCCACTGCTTGCCTGTTCCTGCTCCTGCTAAAGTGTTTCTCAAACCAGTCTTTCCTTTTGCATTCCTAAAAACACTAACTAGTGTGGGCTCCAGCCCAGGATACTGCAAATCCTACCTGCATTATCATATCACTTAACCTCCATAGGCCTCGGCTTCTGCATCTGAGAAATGGGCATAATCCATTCCTGAATAACTGAGATCATGGGTATATAATAATATATGGTATATAAATTTAAATCACTTACCCCAGGGTGTGGCCCATAGCCCTCACCAGGAAACAGCATTTATGGTGGTTACCCTTATCTGATCTCCTTGACCTAACAGACCTGGCTCCTGTTTCTAGGTCCCCTCCCAACTCATGATTTCTGCAGCTGGCAAAATTGTCTTTCTTTCAGTTTTTATTTTGGAGAGTGTAATTCATATACCATGAAAGTACCCCCATTTCTAAAACAAATACCCTTTTGAAATGGGTAGTTCAGTAGGTTCTAGTATTTTGACAAAGTTGTGCATCACTGATTTCTATTTGCAGAACATTTTCATCAGCCCCCAAAGGAACCCCAGGCCCATTAAGAGTCACTCCAGCTCCTTGGCCGGGTCCTGGCTAGTCAATAATTTATTTTCTGTTTACATGTTTGCTCATTCTGGACATTTCACATAAATGGAATTGTACACTATATGACCTTTTATGTATAGCTTTCACTTCAGACATGTGAGATACAGCCACAAGACAGAGAGAAACCAAAAATATATATGCATTTCAGAAAAGAAAAATAGTATGATCTTTTCTCAACAGGTGGTGTTGCCCTCATATGGGGGACCCTATAGGATGTCATATACCACAAAGACCCATGACACTGCCAGCCCCTAGAGAAGAAATTGAAAATGCAATGTGTGGCGGTCTCAGTGTCCGAGGTTGCCCAAGCAGCAGTTTACTGTACTAATAAATCTCTGGAAGTTAATGGCCACCACTTCGAGCACCTCTCGTAATTGTAGAGGCCAAAGATAAGTTGTATTAATCTCATGATAGCTCAATAAATTTAGAATATATATATATTGTCAAATGTAGGAAATATATATCTATCTATATTGTGTCAATTGTATCATGTGTCCTTGGAAGCAAAAAAGGTTTTAATTTGACACAATCAAACTTACCTCTTTTTTGTTATTGGATATACTTCTTGTTTCTATCTAACAAAACCCAGCCTCATTCCAAGTCTCAAATACAGACATGCCTTGTGTAATGACCAAGTTCCATTCTTGTGTCTAAGTAGTTAAATGCACTGGTCACCAAACAAGGAATTATATATTCTGTACTTGTGTTTATGGCTTCTTCTAAAATTGTCATAGTTTTCAGCTCTTACATTTAGATCTCCAAATTATTTTGACTTAACTTTTGTATGTGGCTGAGGTAGGGTCCAACCACATTCTTTTGCATGTGGATATCTAGTTAGTTATTTGACATTATTTGTTGAAAAATTAGTTTTCTCTTATTGAATTGTCTTGACATTCTTTTGACCATAAATGTGAAAGTTTATTTCTAGATTCCCAGTTTAACAGATCTATATTTCTATAGTTATGCTGGCTCTACCATTCTTTGTGTGTGTGTGTGTGTATGTGTGTGGTGCTAGGTATTGAACCCAGGGCCTCATGCTTGCTAGGCAAGTGCTGTATCACTGATCTACACTTCTAGGCCTGTCATGTGGTCTTAATTAGGTTTGTGATAAATGTTGAAATTGGGATGCCTTTCATTTTGTTCCCTTTATCACAATTATTTTGGAAACTTTGTGTTCCTTGAATTTCCACATGAATTTTAGAATCTGCTTGTTAATGACCGCAGAAAAAGGCACCTGAGATTTTGATAGGCATTGCATTATATGTATGGATCAATTTGGTGATTTGGCTATCATAATGTCAAGTCTAAGTATCTTTCTATTTCTTTAGATTTTCCTTTAATTTTTATTTTTCCTTTTTGAGACCAGGTCTCACTATGTAGTGCAGGCTGACCTTAAATTCTTAATCCTCCTGCCTCAGCCTCCTGAGTGCTGGGATTACAGGCATGCATCATGGCACCTGGCCCATGAAACTGTTTCTTAATTTCATTTTGGGGATGCTCCTATTATTGTATAGACATACAATTGTGTTTCTTGCAACCTTGCTAAACTTACTTATTAGTTCTAATTGTTGTTTTTATGAATTACTTTAGGTTTTGTATATAGAAGACCATCCCATGTGAATGGTGAACAGAGCTATTAATAAAATAATCCTGCCATCTGGACACCTTGAATTTTTTTTCTTATTACCTTACCCTGGAACTAGAACTCCCAGTACATTGTTGAATAATAATGGTGAAGGCAAACATCTTTGTCTTGATCTCAAAGGGAGTAAACTTTGGTTTTAGTCTTTTATTAGTAAGTTTAATGTTAACTATATAATTCCCTTTATTATGTTACGAGATTTCTTTACACTCCTAGGCTTATTTACTTTTTAAAGTATTTTTGTTTTTAGACAGGGTCTTGCTATGTATCCCAGGCTGGTCTTGAAGTCACAACAATCCTCTTGCTTTAGGCTCCCAAATTCTAGGATTAAGAGTATTTTTATCATGAAAGAGTTCTGCTTTTTCTGCACCTATTGAGTTGATCACATGATTTTATCCTTTATCTATTGATATGGCACATTATATTCATGGATATGTGTATACTAAACTGAACTTTAATTCTGATAAAATCATACTTGCTCATAATACATTATCCATTCTATATGTTCCTGGATTTGACTAGTTTTTATCTTTATATTTATTAGAAGATTCAAAATTATGTATGCATCTTGCATATTATTTTATTTACTTATTTTTTTCAGTATTCCAGATTCAACCTGAAGCTTCACACATGCTAGGCAAGCACTCTACTACTGAACTACATCCCCAGGCCCTTTTAAAGCTTTTTTATTTTGAGACAGGGTCTCACTAAATTTCCCAGTCTTTTTTTTTTTTTTTGGTCT